CCATCTCCCTGCTGGACAGAGCCTGCCACTTCCCAGGTAATTCCTGTGGTCGGGTTGGGTACCACAATGGAGCCAATGAGTGGTGCCAGCCAGAGTGTCCCTAGGGTGGATGTACACACAGGAGGTTCCGACTCTGGATCTGGAAGCAGCTATTCTCCCTCATTCTGGAAGAGACCCTGAACAGTCAGGAAAGCAGCTAAGCGGAGACAAAGAGACACAGACAAGGGCAGCCAAAACAAGGACATGTGCTGACTTTGTGTCCTTTGTTCTTGGCCCTGAGATTCTAGGTCTTCAGCTCTTCTTGTGATGTTACAAACCCAACGGTATCTGACCTTGCAAAGACAAACCTTGTTGCATTTCTTTGTGTGTGTTTCCTTTGGATCAGTTTGCTTGGGATCAATGTCACTTGTTCCCAAAGGGGCTTCAAAAGATCTTTCAAAGAAGAAACATGGACATCCTTAAGAGAAATTGAGGAATTATAAGTAAGAAAAGGACATAATAAGACAGATATTTTCAAATGATCCTTTTGGAACCCATGGAGAGAACAAACTGAAGTGGGGAGGAAAGAAGACATATGGCTAGAGGTGGGAGGCGACTTGGAAAGCTGTGGAGTCATTCTGGCAAGGACAGTGAGGGCCTGAAGCAGAAGGAAAGAATGGACAGTTGGAAAAGACTGGGCAGACGCAGAGGAGGACGATGCGTGAGGATGTGATGAAATCTGACATTGTTAGGCTTCCAGTACATTTATTTTAGGATTTAGCTTTATAAGTTTTTAATTTGGCAGGGATTGGAGACCCTGAAATCTTATTCTGGCCTGGTTTGTAAAAAGTCAGAACAATGAAAAGACAGTAAAAAATTTGTCATTCTGTGAGTAGAGGGGCTGACAGTATTCCGCTCGTGTTTTAAAAAGATCAATATGGGGCTGGTGAGATGGCTCAGTGGTCTAAAGCACCTACTTAGAACAAGCTTAGCAAAGCACAGGGGACCTCTGTTCGAACCCCCAGCACCACATGCCAGCCAGCCCCGCTCCCTGGTGGGCTGAGCTGGCCACACACACACACACACACACACACACACACACACACATAAATAAATAAAAATTAAAAAAAAAAAAGATCAATATGGCTGCTGTGTGGAGAATGAATAGAATAAAGGCAAACAAAGAAACAAGGAGACTAGAACTTCTTCAATAGTTATGGAACTCCTACTTGCTTCCAGGTACCTAGAGATGGAAGAGGAAATAAGCTGACAAAGGCGCTGCTCCTGCATGGCTTTTGTTTTATGGAGGAGCCAGACAGTAAACAAAATAAAGTTATCTGTCTATGTAGCTCAGAAGTTGGAGGGTGGTTGGAAGGAGAGAAAAGCAGGCTTCGAGGCATTCAGGGGAAGTCTGGGGTAGGATGGTTGTAGGGCTGAGTCAGCAGCCTGTCATTTGATCAAAGATGGGGTGTTGGTGCCAGCAAGAGAGAGTTCCAAACCAAGCACACAGCGAACACTAGCCAGGAGCATCCATGGCATGTTTGAAGGAAACCGCAGAAAGCAGAGCGCTGGAGATAAGTGAGTTTAGTGGGGATCCCAAGGCCAGACAGACACAATCAGGAGAGTACAAGTGAATTCTCTTACCACTGTAGCTACACAAGGACAGAGAGAAGGCCAACCACACTTTCACCAGACAGAGTACATCATTTGAACTGATATCTACAATTTTTCAGAGTTGCATAATTGAGCAGACAAGAAAAGCCCAGATTATCTCACAGAATCCTGTAACTGGAAAAATGTGCTAATTGGGGCTGGGGAGATAGCTCAGTAGAGTAAGTGCTTGCTTGGGAAGCACAAGGGCCTGAGTTCAATCCCCAGTTCCGCCAGGGGAAAAAAAAAAAGAAAAATGTGCTAATCAACGCCTGCCTTTCCTTTGAGGATACATGTAATAATCTTTTGGGTTCATTTCACAGGCACAATATTTTCTATAGAGTTAAAAAGAAAACAATATTGTTCCTACCATTGCTCTTCCTTGAATTTGTTATGTATGAAATGTGTGTGGAAATATATTCAGGTACTATCATAGTATGTACTAATTGGTTAAAGAGATGAGACAGAGTGCAGGACCCCCTAACATCAGTCCATCTTCTAACTGAAATGGAAAATATTCAGGAATCAAACCACTTCAAATCCACTATGGAACACAGCAGGGTAGAAACACAATATGGGAGATGTAGGTCACAATTCCTGACTAACGAATAGTTTAATCTCCAGCCCCCTTGCCATTTAAAGCTGTAAATATAGCTACTATTTTATAAAACCTCCAAGCATATTTTCAAAATTGCTTCAGTCTGATTTCCTGGATTTCTTTTGGCAGAACCGGGGATTGAACTCAGGCCCTTGCGCTTGCCAGGCAAGTGATTTCCTGGATTTCAACCTTTACTAGTTACAAGTAACGTAATGATCTTGGGTTTATGTTCATGAACTTTTAAGTCAGAGCAAGGGCTGGGCCCACGAGTGTGTGAGGTCGCACAGAGCCTTCGAGGCAGGCACTCGGTCCATTCAGAAACAGAAGCCCTCTTGTCCTTCAGTAATTATCAGTCTATTCTGCTTCTTTTGGAAAATCTGGTCACCTTGGTGTAACCGTTCAGGTATGGATCAGAATGAGCACCAGAGAAGAACCACTGGAGAAAATGCCCACATGAATTTCCTGAGCACGATATTTCTCTTTGCAAGTTTTCGAGTGCTTGGTAGCAAACCTGCCAAAAACGGGAGACCTATAAATAGGGGAGAGTAGGAAGAAAGATGGGATCTGTCAGCACGCCACTGAAAATAGGGAATGAGGAATTTTCCAGAGATGCAAAGACAAAGAGGGTTAATATTGACTTACAAAAGAGGTACTGGGTATATGCTTTGTAAAGAAAGGAAGACAAGAAGGGACAAGAATAAGGAATATGAGAGAGACTTAAAGAAGCAGAAAATGTGTCAGAGTCCTTGTGAAAGAAGGTGCGGATCCCAGAAGGGGAGGGAAACTAGGGCATCCTGTGTATCATTTCTCCCACTGGTTAGGTACTATATATCCACCTTCTAATTTACACTTCCTGCAAAAACTGAGATAGGCATCATTGCTAGATGGAACTCAAATACCTAGTAGTAGACAGATATCTGACTGGACTATGGGGAGCTGGCAGAGGATGCCTGCTGGGCCCAATGTGACCCTCGGGTGCAGTTACGAGGATATGGCTGGCGTCAGGACAATGGCTGGCATGAAGCAGGCTCTGCATGCAGGTTGTTGGGCCACCTTTCAGGAGTTGTCATCTTCACTAGAGAACACAGCAGAAGTGGCTGTGGCAATGTGTAATCAGCACTGGCCGTGTTTCCTGGGCAGGATTGATCTTTCTCTCTCACCCTTTTCTTCACTAGGGAGCTCAGCTAGCATGGAATTCCTGCTGCCTGACTACGTGAGGCTGCACAATCACCACGGCTGGTGGCTCCAAGTGGCAGCTGACCGTCCCTACGGAATCCTGGGAGGAGAATGACCCTTGTCCCCCATAAGTCACCCAATCCCTCCAGCACACCGGGCTTTACATGTTTAGGAGTTAATTTTGCTAAAGCCTTGGGGACCTCATGGGAAGGCAACAACGCAAAGAAAAGAAAGAACTCAAACTTCAGCAGCAGAGCCTTGGAGTGAGACAGGTTCTCCAGACCTCCTTCTTCCTCCTCCTTTTATGTTGGACACAGGCTGCCTGCATTTGCAACTTTCCACTCGCCAACCGTGGTCTTGTGCTGAGGCCAAACCTCTCAGAGCCATTTTGTTAGGTGGGACAATGGCATTTTGAGTTAGTAAGGTTTTTTTTTTTGTTTTGTTTTGTTTTTTAATATGATGTACTAGGGAGCAGGTAATGGTGTGATGCTCAGGATTTGTTCTAACAAACATGTACTCCAAGGCCAACAGGTGGCACCCTGACTGGAGAGCACAGCAGACAGGCTAGCCACTGCTGAAGCCAGGTGGTCAGTACCGGGGTGGGCCTCTGTATTCCCTACACTGTGTATGGCTGTAAGTTTTCATAAAACAAAGATTAAACAGAAAACTAGGCTTCTTGCTCCACATCCCAGCACACACCTCAGGGCCTCACCTCTCCATGAAGACTCATGGAGAAACCACCGCAGGTTTCTCCATGAGTCTTCGGTCCCGTTACACACCTCCAGGAGTATCCAGCAGGCCTTGCGACCTAGGGAGGAACAGTTCTGTGACCTATGTCCACACTGGCAGAGGATCGGTTCCCTACCTGGGTAACTTTCACTACACAGGGTATCGCCTTCCTCTGACAGCGTTTTGAAAGCAATTTAGGTATTAGGGAGTCCTCCAAGGGTCAACCTCGGAAGACAAGGGTCCCTGATGTGTGGCAGCAGCCTGGGAGGAGCCTGGCAGGTGGAAGGCCAGGTGATGGGAGCTGCAGAAACCTTGGGCTGGGGGTGAGGAACAGAAAAAAATGGTCCTTGCGTGGTGGTGACGGGGCAGTCACGATGAAGCAGCAAGTGTGAGAAAAGCCATCTTGGTGCAGAACTAGGCCAGAGAGGGTTGACAGCTCACACTGTACACAGGACGCATGTGCCGCACTTAGGCGCGAGAAAGTAACTGCGCGCACGTGCACTTAACACACACACCGACTTCGAATGAGCACGGACAGCGTCGACCTTCCATGCCCCCGCCCAATGCAAGCTCAGAGCCAGGAGAGGAGGCCTGGGCCAAAGACATTTTCGCATAGGGACCAGGCACACGCCATGAGGCTGCGCAAGCCACGGGGAGCCCAGAAGCCAGGGACGCTAGATCCTTGCTGCGCCGGGTGCCCACCTAGGCTGCGGCAGGCTGACGAGCGCGAGGCTGCAGCGCCGCTCCACGCCGCCGGGGGCAGCACCGCCCTGTTGAGCAGAGCTCAGCCCCGCCGCGAGCCGCTCTTGACGCCTGCGGTGCGCAGCCGCCCGCGCCGCTCGTTCATTGGCTAACCCGACAGCGCCATGTTGGCGGAAGCGGAGCGCCCGCGCGTGGAGAGGCCGGGTCGCCGCGTCCGCAGAGCACCGGCCGGTCTCCTCACCACACCCAGGCGGGATGGAGAGACGCAGGATGAACTTGCCTACCGGGCCAGACACGCTGTGCTTCGACAAAGACGAATTTATGAAGGTGCGCGGCCCGGGGGGTGGGCGGCCGGGGATCCTCGGGGTTACCGGCATCTCTGTCAGGCCGAGCGCGGAGGCCCTGCGGATGCCTGGCCCGGGTTCTCGCGGTCCGCTCCGGTCGCCAGGCCCCGGACCTGTGCCCGTGGCAGTGAGGGTGCGAGCGTGCCCCGGGGTCCGCCCACCTGCCTCGCGTCGGGTGGAGAAAAGCGCTGTTTTTCTGTCTGGTGTTGGTGGAAAGCTGGAACGGGAGTGGAAGTTTGACGCTTCTCAGTTTGTACCGCAAAGTTGGCTGTTCTCCTCTTCTGAAAACATCCTACTTACAAAGCATAGTTAACTTGAAATAGATTTCCAGAGAACTGTAGGATATAAATTCACAGAAAAGAAGTGTAAGTTAAAAGCATTTCACTAATAAAAGTTGATTAAGTACAATCCAGAAAACGTCCAGGGTTTAAGTCCACACTGGGAAGAACTTTGCTTCCCTAGTTGAGGTAACCCTCCAGGTTGTCACCTATGCTGTCCAAAAATACATTTATATTCAACTTCTTAAGATTGGGAGTTTTGACAATAGTAGCTTGTTTTAGGATTAGAAATGTAGACGCTTGGGCTCAGTAGGTAATTGAAAAGTTGAACAAGTGGCTTTGTCTTATTCAGCTTTTTTGATGCCTTTTTAATCAAGTGGTGATTTTTTAGTAGTTTAATTGGCCTCTGTCATTTTGATACTATATTCAGATTGCAACTCCAAAGTGCAGGGGAGGGGTTGTTTATTTTTGGGGATTCATTGTGTCCTATTTTTTATTTCTTTTTTGCTGGAACTGGGGATTGAACTGAGGCCTTTGCGCTTGCCAGGGAAGCGCTTATTTCACTGAGCCATCTCTCTAACCCCGAGTTTATTGTGTTTTAAAGTGTTAAGATAGGCATAGGCCTGTAGGCCCACCACTCTGACAGCCTGAGGCGGGATTGAAAGCTCCAGTCCAGCCTGAGTGATTTAGCCAGGCCCTGTGTAAATACAAAAAAGGATTGAGGATGTAGTGCAGTGTAGACACCCTGGGTTCAACTCCTAGTTCTGCAAAAAAGAAAGAAAAGTGTTATCGTATCCTGGCTGTTGTGCCCATATGATTTTTCACAGACAGGAATAGTGTACCTGTTCTTGTGTAAGGATGTTTTTGCTAAACTGCTGCAGTAGAAAGTGTAATTTGAACAGGATGTCTAAAAGAATGAACAGTCTGTTTATTCGCCCAGAAACTTTTCATCTACCCCCTGGCTAAAAGCTACTGTAAAAGGAAGACAAGGAGAACCTGATGATGTCTGCTGGAGAGGGTGTGGTGGAAAAAGAAGGGTACACCAGGTGATTAGGGTCTTAGGCTCACTCAAGAACCTCAAGAATGCAGAAAAGTCCAGTTCTCCACCTTTTGACTTAGGCTTCCTTCAGGCTTGGTGCCCGCATGTTCTGACTCACTGGCGGCACCACCTTTCCCATGCACACAAAGATGCCAGAACCCCTTTGGTAAACACAGCTTCAGGAAATGGAAACCTGCCCCGTTCCACCCAGAAAGCCCCAAATCATAAAACGGAGCAAATAGGAGAGTGACTGAAATGCCAGCAGGGCCATGTATAATGGCTTATAAATTTCTGAATGTGCTGTGGAATTTGAGCATTATTAAACACTTCATATTTAGAAGAAAATGCAGAGTTCAGCTGTTCTGTGTAAACTGTTGATTGTGTAGGTGGAACCATAAGTTAAAGGTTGTTTGATGTTTGTATTTCCATTGCAGACATTTTGTGGTAGAAAGGACATGTAGTGTCTTTGCTTGTCAGGGCATTATTTATACAAGCTGGGCATGGTGGTGCACACCTGTAATCCCAGCACTCAAGAGACTGAAGCAGGAGGATCCTTGTGGGTTCAATGCTAACCTGGGATATATAGTGAGTTCAAGGCCATCCTGAACTGCATATTGAGTCTGTATAAATATATATGTAAAGTTATAGTTATGTCTCATTTAACAGTTTTTATAATGGCATAGGTACAGGTATTTTGCATGTGAGAAGATAGGATATAGATTTTTTGCATTTGAGAAGATAGGATATCAGATAAGTATTAGGAGAGTTGAGATTACAGTGTATCCAGTTATTTGTCTGGAAATCGCTGCCATTAGTTTGCCAGACAGTGGACAGCATGCTAATGAAGTGGCAGCAGTTGTTTATTCAGTCAGTGGGTATTCATTGATCACATATTACATGCCAAGTAGCACTGTGTACATAAAGGAACAAGGTTCAGTAAGGTGTGACTTGTTTTTTTGAGGTGATGAGAGGAAGAACAAACATGTGCATCCGGAAACTGCACTTAGTCTTAAGTGGCTGGTGTACGGGAGAATGTCCAGAACAAGGAGGTGGGGCTGCAAGTTGAGCTGGCCCTATATACTCTATGAGGGCTTTGTGCTCAATGCAATGTTCACTGTGGAATTAGAACAAGAAGTTGTGTGTCCACACATGTTGCATTGGTGCTGACTGATAGCAGGAGGCTCCTCACACACATACACTTGACGGGAAATAGGATATAGGGCATTGGTGATAGGGAGAAGGTAATGCATTAATAAGGCCAAGTTGGACCCATGTACGTGGGTGTGCTGCTGAGGTCACGTCATTCCCCTCTGTCTCAGCCTGTGATTTTATTTCTTTTTACAGAGAAGCAGAGGCTATGCCATATTGTCCTCACCTTACTGATAACCACCTCACTCCTGCATGGTGAGGTTTCTGCTTCTACTTGCCTGCCATGGGGTTTTCCTATCTCCTGATCACTGCCACTCACGTTGGCTTGCATGTCAAGGGACCTTGCAGTTCTCCCTTCCCACTACTACTCATGCCCTTGCCTTTCAAGCAGCCTGTCATTCTCCCTTCTCTACACCTTCCCACTACCACCATATGCCTAGTTCCAACACCCTTGCCATCCTCCACAAGACCTTATTTCCTCTTCCCACTGACTTTCAGAAACTTCCACTCAGTCCCTTATCTCTGATTATTCTTAGATCACAATATCAAGCTCACCATTGTATTTCTCCTTTTTCACTCAAGCTCACGCTGGCTTCCAGCTCCATCATTGCACTGCACATTTCTCCCCAAAGATGTCAGTCCAGTAGGACTTTTGTCTTTCTGAGGAGGTTCATTTATTGTCTATGAGTTCAGTTTTCAACATGCTCAGTTTGAGGTGCCTCAGAAACATCCCAGAAGAAGTGTCAAGGACTTGAGTATGTGGGCTTGGAGATCAAGAGATGTATGGGCAGGTGAGTTGAATCTGTATGACCTGCCTGTTCATAACCAGTGAGGCTGCATGGGGCAGATCACCCAGAAGAGCAGATAGAAGTTTGAAGCCAGTGTAGTCCAGTGTTGCCAAGCACTTTGTGATGTGAGGCATCATGTCATAGCAGCTAGCCTGTTTGTAAAAAAGTTTTTTGAACCACCTTGGCTTTTGAATTTTCTTTTTTTTTGCAATACAGTATTCTAAAATTTACAGTATCCTAAAACTTACTATTTGAATAAAATACTGAATTCATAGGCCCTGAAATTATTGTACTTGTGATTTCTTTTTTCAAAATCAGGTAGCAGGAAGCATGATGCAAATAGAACTTTTTGTTGCTTAATTGAACTTAGTAGCATTTAACATCAAATTTTTTTGAATATTTGACTAAACAGATTAATCACAGACCTAGGCTATTTTATATACAGAATTCAGCACTTTAGGACATTCAGTTGAACAAGAACTAAAAGCATTGCATAAATTGTATTAATGTTAAATTAGGATGAATAGGAAAAAGAAGAAACAGCTGGGACAAGGGCCAGTGAGATAGCTCAGCAGACTGCCTGCTTAGGCAAGCTCAGGGACCAGGTTTTGATCTCTGACACCACATGCTGCACCGGCCCTACCCCCAGGCACACTGGGGTGGCCACCGAGACCTGGTGTGGCAGTACACACCTGTAATCCCAGCACTGGTGGGGTGGGGGGCTAAAAACAGGAGGATCACTACATCTGAGCTGCGTAGTGAGACCCTGTACCAAATACATTAAAATAAATAAAAAGACCTAGGCTTTTTTATATACAGAGTTCAGCATTTCAGGACATTCAGTTGAAAAGGTAAATTAAAAGCACTGTATAGGTTACATTAATATTAAACTGAGATAAAGAGGAAAAAGAATCAGCTAGAACAAAACTCATATAATTAAGCTGCATGGATGTTGCAGGATATAAATTTGTCTTTTCAGAAATATATCATGCAGGAATTATATTCAACAAAGGATTGGGAACAAAAATGATTAATCCAATCAAACCTAAATTCTTAGAATTGAAATATTTCAAGACTTGAAGATGATCTGTCCATAGAAAAGAGCGCACTCTAGCATGTGTTTATTTATTTATTTAGTATTTGGTGCAGGGTCTCACAATGCAGCTCAGACTCATAGTGATCCTCCTATTTTCAGCCTTCCTAGTGCTGGGATTATAGGCGTGTGCCACCATGCCCATACTTGGTGGCTGGTTCAGCCCACCCTGGGGTGGTTCTGGCACAGCATGTGTCAGGGATCAAACCCTGGTCCCTGCGCTTGCCTAAGCTGAGCTATCTTACTGGCCCCTAACATACATTTTTAATTATCAGGCCTACATAAGTATTTGATAGCAGATTTAGAATGAGTTTTGGGGGCCTAAGTTTCAGTCTCCATGTGCCATGTGCCCTGGACACAGGATTTGATTGAGGGCTGGAATGCTAGGGAGAGACCCAGGATGTTCTTTGCATATCCACTGCCCTCTGTGGTGTGATCTCTTCCCACAGCTGTCCTCTGGCCAGCTCTTCACACATTTGGATTTTAGCTTAGATGTTAGTTTGTAGGAGTCTTTCTTCATCTTCCAAATTAGCATACCCCACTTTGTCACTTACCTTCAGTGTCCCCATTTATTTTCTTTATAATTTACTGCTCTTTAGTGTTGATTTATTTACCTGTTTTTTTTTTTTTTTTTTT